AAATGCTTGTGCCAAAATATCACCTGATGTACTCCGCAGTTGTGTACGATCTATGGAAGTTCGGATCAATAAGTGCATTGAAGTCGAAGGTCGCCAATTTGAGCACTTATTAAATTAAATTAATTTCAAACAGATAAGACAATCATACCAAATTGTGGCAAGGGCAAGGGGTCTCACCTAAAACAAGCACCCCAAAGGGGATAAAAAACTACTACGTCCCCGTCGTTATTCCTGGGTAGTGCTAAAAGTAGTTAATAGTTGTACAGTTTTTCAACCTTAAAGTTAAAAAAGGGATTCCAATAAGGTACTCCGTTATCTCAAGATTTTTGTGTTTTTTGTTTTTTATGGCCAAAATATGGGTTAAATCGAAAAAATAATAAGAACAAAAAGTATTTTTTTTTTCGATTTCCAATCGAAATCCGCGGCAAAAAATGGGTGTTTCCATTTAAAAAAACGAATTTTGATCAAAAAACGCCACTTCCGGTCTAGACCGGAAGTTGTAATATGGACCTTTCGATAGCCTCTTTAATGCCCTACAACTTTTGTCTAAAACTTTTTTCAAAATAATCGACTCCAATCGAGATATTATCTTGTCTCAAGATAAATGCCCTACCCTGTATATATATATAAATATACATAGAGTGATTAATATAGAGTGATTAATATATAGAGTAATGTAAAAAAGACGATACGAAGTGAGGTACGAGGTAACGTATAAAGCGACGCATCGTACGATCGCGCGAAACGATGCGGCGGGTGGAATAATATGACGATACATGGATTAATATATAGTTGTATGCGAAGAGGTAAAATGCGTAGGACGATGCGAGCGGTGATCGGGCGGGAAGGCGCCGTCCCTCGGTGTTGAAGTCGGCGAGACGTCTGAAATATATAAAGTATCAATTTATATAGTATTAATAGATCATACTGAGGTATATGGAATGAAAGAATAGCGCGTTAGACGAAAAGAGATACGTACCTCGATTAAAACTCGTCCTCGTCGTCGTCGTAGTCGCTCGTGTGAGCGGAGCTCATTCCGTCACTCGTGTGAGCGGAGCTCATTCCGTCGATCGGATTCAAACCGCGGTACCACATTTCTCCGAAGGAATCGTCGTCGTCGTAGATATGTGCGGTCTTACACATATGATCTTGGACGAGCGATTCCATACCGAACAATCTTCTCAAGCGAAATATGTCGGTAAACATGTTAGGCGCGCTCTTCTCCCATTTCTTGTAGGTCGCTCGCACCACAGTAAATCCATGAATATGCGGCGCGCCTGCCTTTTTCTCTGCATCCAACGCTTATGGTGTATGCTTACGAACCCTTCGATCTCGACTTCCTCCTCGAACTGTAAAAAATGTCGCGCGATCAACGATCGTCGCGTGTCTCTTCAAAGGAGAGCGAAAGAATAAATAATGATGATAAAAGGGTACTCACGTTCCACGCTAACACTATGCTGAGGATCGCTTTCATGAGTCTCTTGATGTATTTTATTTTCCAGGCGCACATTCGCGCCGCGAACATACATCCGTGAAACATTCTTAGCAATTTCAAAAATTCGTCATCTATCGTTCGCGCGAAAATAACGCTGAGAATGAATATTGAATGCACTGGGAACATTTAGAATACTGAGCGCGCGGAAATATAATGAGGTAATATAACGAGGCGTGATAAATTCTCGATTGCTCCGGAGGAAGTGCGGAAAATGTGTTTAACCGCGTATGCGCGATACGAGTTAACGTTTATTCGCTAATTAATATTATTTTTCATAGTGTTAATATTATTTTTCTTAGTATTAATATTATTTTTTAGTATTAATATTATTTTTAGTATTAATATTATTTTTTCTTAGTATTAATATTATTTGTAGTATTAATATTATTTTTAGTATTAATATTGTAACAGCGAGGCCGTTACTGCGCCAACATCCGCGCGGCGCCAATTTGGCGCCAAGCGCCGCCGATTGAGCACCGCGTCCGAACCGCGGAACCGCGGATTGATAATCACCGCGTGCCCCACTATTACGCGCATGACCGCGTAAGGAGATCGCGTGGGGGTGGCCAGCCGGGTATATAAGGCGGCCGCTCCGGCAGACCAGTACCTATTCCTGTCCCGACTTTCGGGACGCTCGAAGCTACAGGACGCACCCTGGGTATTCGCAGCTTACCGAGCTCCTTACTCTTGGCTTAGAGCACGGTCGCTACCGTGCCCGGTCGATCGCAACCGACAACCAGGAGTCTCCCGTCGACCCACGACGACCCGGTCTCGGGTACGGGCGCTCCCGTACTCGGTCGGTTGCAACCGACGTCCGGATTGTCTGGGTCTCCATTCTGAGCCCCGACTAGCCGTTTTCCCGGCTCCTGGCGAACAGCCGTTTTCACGGCTCCTGGCGAACAGCCGTTTTTACGGCTCCTGGCGAACAGCCGTTCTCACGGCTCCTGGTGCACAGCCGTTCTCACGGCTCCTGGTGCACAGCCGTTTTCACGGCTCCTGGGGACTAGCCGTTCTCACGGCTCCTGGTGCACAGCCGTTTTCACGGCTCCTGGGGACTAGCCGTTTTCACGGCCCCTGGTGAACAGCCGTTTTCACGGCTCCTGGTGCACAGCCGTTTTCACGGCTTTTGGGGACTAGCCGTCCTTGCGACTCTTGGAGGGTAGCCGTCTCCACGGCTCCTGGGCAGCTCTCCCCCATCGCTCCTGGACGAATAGCCGCATCCCCGGCTTTGGAGGACCACGGCTCTGGAGGACGGCCACTTTGGCGATCCTGGACGACGACCGCAACCACGAAAAGGAGGATCACCGCTGCCCGAGCCAACGACCACCCACACGCAGGACACTAGCCGTTCTCATGTCTCTTATGACCTAGTTATAAATAAAGGTAATCCCGACCCAGCCGACTCTCCTTTCTCCCGCGGCCGACAACGCTCCACTTATCCGCCGATTCCGAACCGTGCTGGTCCGCGTCGCGAGATATACTTGGGAACCCTGATTAACTTCCCTGGTCCAGAGCCCGGTTGCTACCGGGCCCGGTCGGTTGCTACCGACGTCCAGTATCCCGGCGTACTACGGGGCACCCGTGTACGCCACCCTGAGGACGGGTGCTCCCGTCCTCGGCCGATTTCGGTCGGCAGGCCCGGCTAGGATCCGTGTCCGTGCCTCGCGGCACGTGACCACCCCTTCGGACTTCCGCGTCGCGAGGTATACTTGGGGACCCTGATTATCTTCCCTGGTCCAGAGCCCGGTTGCTACCGGGCCCGGTCGGTTGCTACCGACGTCCAGTATCCCGGCGTACTACGGGGCACCCGTGTACGCCACCCTGAGGACGGGTGCTCCCGTCCTCGGCCGATTTCGGTCGGCAGGCCCGGCTAGGATCCGTGTCCGTGCCTCGCGGCATGTGACCACCCCTTCGGACTTCCGCGTCGCGAGGTATACTTGGGGACCCTGATTAACTTCCCTGGTCCAGAGCCCGGTTGCTACCGGGCCCGGTCGGTTGCTACCAACGTCCAGTATCCCGGCGTACTATGGGGCACCCGTGTACGCCACCCTGAGGACGGGCGCCCCCGTCCTCGGCCGATTTCGGTCGGCAGACCCGGCTCCAGGTCCGTGCACGGCTACACGTGACCTCCTTTTTAGGGTTTTGTATCCACGACCGCGCCGATTTTGCGATCGAGACACGGTCCCGCGTAGATACCTAGATTAGACGTGTTAGCAATTGTGGTTACGCGACTCCGTGTATCATACTAGATTTAGGTCTGTTCCTTGTCCCGACTAGCGCCTAAGACGTGTGTTCGTAATAATACTAGACTTAAGTCTGCTCCCCGTCCCGACTAGCGACTAAGACTGGTAAGCACCTAGATTTAGGCATATTCATAATTGTAATTGCGCGACCGCGACATAACTTCGTGTGTACTACTAGATTTAGGCGTATCCATTGTCCTAGCTAGTACCTAGAACGTTATTTTCGTGTAAAGAATCAAAGTGTAAGTAGGGTGATTTTACAATAAAGATTTTTTATTAATTCGTACCCGTGTGGTTTTGCGAGCCTGAGTCTCCCCTTCTCCCGAACCCTGACTCCGACGAGCCGATCCGCGGCGTCGGGAAAGGTGCACCGTTACAATATTATTATCTTTTTCTTATTATTAATATTATTTTTGAAGATATTAATAATACTTCTTTCTAAGTAGGCGATAAATCAATGCACGCGATAAAAATTAATCGTCGATACATCGACGAGAGTACGCGTAAAACTAATCTACGATGTGGGAAATGTATGAGGCGCGATAAATTAACCGCTAATAAGTCGATAAGAGTACACGCAGGACTAATCTACGACGCGGAAAACGCGCGACGCGTCTCTGTTCACATGTCGCGCAATTGATCGCGTCTCTCCAACCACCAGTTGTGCAGTTTGCACACGTTTTCCAAGGCGCAATTCTTCGAGTGATAGCCGCAGCGATAGACGCGAGTCGCGGCTAGCGTTCGAAGGGGTCCGATATCCTCGTAATCGGCGTCGATGGTCTCCATCGTCAGGTCGAGCTGTTCCGCGACCTCTCCCGCGATGTCGGCCAGCCACTTCTTCTTCTCGAGACCCTTGACGTAAATCGTCACCGCGGCGTTCGAGATCCCTCGACGCGCGATATATCGCGTCGCGAACGATCTGCTTCGCGTGCCTATACTCCACGTGTCCGTCGGTCCAGTGAAATTCGTGGTGATTAAGAGTCAGCCAACAGGCCTGCGACTTCTCGCTCTTCGTCAGCAGATTCCACGACATCGGCGCGCGAAAGACGTGATGCGTCAGATCTCTGCCTCGCGAGTATCGCCATCTCCTTCGTCACGAATCGCTCGTTGACGACAAAACCCTGCAGATCGACGAAGATCGCAATATCGCCCGCGACCGTCGTCGCGGTCATCGTCGCGAGATACTGACGTTTATTCGCGTCTCTCCCCGATATCTTCGCGATTTCGAGTTTCCTCTCTCCCCTCCCGTTCGACATGTCGTCTTACAGAATCTTACGCACGACGTTCGTCAGCGGATTGTACTCCACTATGCGATCGTGAATGATTAGACAGTACGCCGTGATGTTAGAAGGAACGTTGTCCTTGCAGTCGAATTCTAGACGAACGTCCACAGTGGCGCTCTTAATCGCTTCGTTTTGGCGGAAACAATCTATCACCGCGAGTGGGCCGCAGTATAGAAATTTGTTCATAGTCAGGAGCGTCTCGTCGCTCGCGGATCCGTAATACGTTCGTTGAAATCTCGCGTAGGCGTCGTACAGTACGGCGATCTTGTTCTTATCGAAGTTCAAATTCATATCGTCGTACGGATAGAAGTCGGAATTGAGATACAATTTTACGTTGGTCAGATTGCACGCGTCGAATCTGGAAGCGTCCTGCGATAGGACGTTCTTCCTTCCGGTCTGCAACGCGAAGATGACGTAATGCGATTTCTCGAGCTGCGTGGCCGCTTTTACGGCCCACGAGTGTTTCGTCGTGCTCTGCAGGAGCGGAAACTCGTACAGATTCCACAAGCGAAAGGGCGCGCTCAGATATCTGTCGCTGTCCAACGTGCGCAACAGCGATAATTTGTTGACGTCATTCAGCACCACGTGCGGCACGCGCCACTGTATCTTCGCGAGCTCGACTCTCGGCTCGAATTCCTCGCGATATCAGACAATTGTTGTCGTTTCGTGCTCTTACCAGAATCAGCTCGTGACGGACGTTGATGACAACGCGCCTGTAATCCTCGCAGAAATCTAGCAGCGTGTCGAGAGGAACGCAGAAGTTGAAGTCGCCCGTCGACGCGACGCCGCTCGGTCCAGTCGCGAGATCCCATCCGGCATTCTTCAAGATCTTGCCTCGTTCGGCCGTCAGCGAGACGTAGTTCTTGATCGTGCTGGTTATTCCGACGTTGCGATTACGATCGATCTCCACGCCATCGAGCTCGTAACGTATCTCCTCGAACATAAAGGCGACGCAATTGTTCACGAGCCACGCCGGCGTCGAGGGCACGGACGGCTCCTTAGAGGCCGAGACAGGCTTACCCGATTCGCCGCTCGACGCGGGCGGCGGATTATTCTTCGCGTGCAGTCTACCTTCGACGTAGAGAAAATTCTCGCACGGCAGCGTGTATAGGTCCTGCTGTTGTATGGGTATTCGTATCTCGTCGCTGTATCCGAAAGTGGTGTTAGCATACGGATTGTACGTGTGACTCTCGATCTTCACGATGCGATCGTCGAAGACGGGTTCCCCGCCGATGCTCAGAATGTCCCTCATGTCGTCGTCGAACTATCGCGCGGCTCTCGGTACGACGAAACCCATGGATCGCAGAAAAGCGACGTTGGCGGACAATTCCCCGACGCTCCTTTCTCTCGAGCGCGCGACTCGAGTTCCCGCGACGCGATCGCGGTCGCCGTCGCGATGCGACGTCGCGACGCTAGATTCGCGCACGACGAGCATCGCCTCGTTCCCTCCCCCGTCTCGCCGCGCGCTCTCTATCGTCTGCGTCGCACGTGCAGTCGAATCGAGATCTCCTCGCCGCGGAAATCGATCAATCGACCGTCCTGATCGACGACGCGCAGCGATACGTCGGTCACGAATCGCGCGATGACCGGCAGATAAATGATCTGCCTCGGGATCTCCGACACTTTGTATCCCGGCGGGACGTTCGGCGCGAATTCGTGTATCGCGTGGACGGATCTCCCGTTCACGTACGCGCCCGTCGTCAGGTTGCATTCCACGCGAATCGTGTAACCGCGATAATGCTCACGGGCTCGTCGGACGCGTACCATTTGTTCGGCCGCAATACGCGAGACTGGGAGAAACCTAACAACGATCCGATATTGTTCGGTTTGGTGAAATTAATTCGGTACGGGCATTTGATTTCGCTTCTCATATTGTCGTTACCGCGTAGCGCGAGAACGCGATCGCCGCTCTCGTCCTCCGCGTCCTCGACGTCGTACAGATATTCCTCGTCGTCGTCGCCGTCGCTGGCGCCATCACCGCCGACTCTCCCACCGGTACTCGCGCTCGGCGGTCGTCGCCGTCTTCGAAGAATCGCGGCTCTCAGATACGCGCTTATGTCGCGCAGCTCGTAGGATCCGATCGGGATCGCGATCGTCTCGTCGTCGTCGTCGAAGTAAAATTTATTGTTCGAGGAATTCACGTTCGGAATCGTGTTGTAGGTCTCGAAATTGGTCAGGCCGAGCTCGTAATCGTCGTCGCTCAAATCGAGAGGCGGAAAGTAACTCGCCGTGAGAACGTTGCTTCTTCCGGTCAGTGAGAATCAGCGACATGACGACTAGCGCTATCGCCGTTAGAGACCGAAGGGCTTCCTCCTTTCTCCTCCCCAATCGACTCGTCGAAGGAAGCGCAGGCACAATTGTCCGCAGACGCTCTGATCGTACGTCTGCTGAGAGTCGCGATTGTACGCGACGCGCGTGTCGCGTCCGAGATAACGCGCGAGTTCTCGAGGCGGTCGAAGATTGCCGAAAGCGTCGAAGTAGATAGCGTCTTTTCCCCTTTTAGCGTACGCCACCCAATGCGTGCTCGGCCCCGAGGCGTCGTCCAGGTTCACGATACCACTCTCGTCGCGACGAACTCGCGCCGGCAACGCGTCGCGCATGAACACACCTCTGAAGTGACGCACGCGAGCGCGCCTGGCCGCGCTGTTCAACTGTTCGTTCGTCGTGACGCCGATCGGAGCTACGACGTCGTCTAACGCGCGCGAAGGCGCGATTTTTTTTTCTTTTCCTCCTAACCGTTCGTCCGCCTCGTCTCGATGCTTCCGCCGCGCTTGTAAGGCGCGAGATACAAATCGCGGCCCTCCATCGCTCGATTGTGTCGCTGCAGCTCCTCCAATTGTCGACACGCGGCCTTACCGTCGTTCACCATCTTCGCCACGCCGGCCGCTCCGCCGATCAGCGATCCTAAAGCTCCGAGCGCCGGCAACAGCGGCAGGAAGCCGCCGCGTTTCGCCGCGGGAAGAACCCGTCCTCTCGTCGTCGTCCTCCTCCTCCTCATCGAGCTCGTTCTTCTCTTGCCGCCGCCGCCGCTCTTTCTCGCGCCTCTTTGCGCTCCAACCATACCCATTCCTAGTTTCGTCTTCACCTTCATAGCCGCCCATACGGCCGACGCCGCCACTCTCTCGCCGAGGGTCGAATCCCCGGCCCGGATACGCTCGAACGCTCTCGCTCCGAGCGCCCGATCCGCGACGTGCCGATCAGCGAGATCGTCGCTCCGCGAATAGGCTACGTCGTGCTCGCGGCAAGCTGCGTCCAGCGGATTGACGCCTCGATCGCCTCGCGCGAGCCGCTTCGCGAGACGAGTACCGGGACCGCAGAACTGATATCCCGGTATATGTAGTTCAAACGGAAGAGCGTTTATAGTTCTATTGAGCAAACCGCTACCGCCGACGACTGCCGTCGCGGCATCCTCGGCGTATCTCATACGCCTCGACGCGCTCATCGTCACGCCATTTCCTTCTCCCGGCACATGCCGCAGTCTTTGATGCACGGCGGCGGACCATCGATGTGCGTTCATTGCTACGGCTGATTGTGATGCTTGTGACAGAGGCGATAACGCTGCACGTCCGGATCGCCCTGCAGATGTATAGGCAATCTCTCCCACAATCGATCGACGAAATCACCGTACTTGTCCAGCAGAAGCTTCTTCGGAACGTACTGCAACTGATCGACGCTGAGTCCGAGAATATCGTAATCGTTCACCAATAGAATAAACATGACGAAGCGTCGCGCGCGCGCTCCTAACTCTATCGCGTCACCGTCGATCGGACATGCCTAACTGCGCGATCGTTTTTTTTCTCCCTCTATATATATGCGTTCGCGAGGGCGAATCCGCGCTCGTTGCTCGCGCGCGCGCGAGTCTGCGCACTGAGACGCAGATTCGCTCGCGACAACGAGGAAGAATCGCGAGAGGAGAGAGAGAGAGAGAGAAAACGATGCGTTTCGTGCGTCAACCGATCGCGATAAGAGTGTCCAACGTCGACGGTAAGACGCGCTCGATGAACGAGGAATCGCGAAGACACGGTAATCTGTTACCGACCGCGATCCGCTGCGTAATCTGCGGTCCCTCTAATTGCGGTAAAACGAACGTGCTGATAAGCCTTCTGGAGAGCCCGCACGGCGTGCGATTCGAGAACGTGTACGTTTACTCGAAATCGTTGCATCAGCCTAAATATCGATATCTGAAAAAATTGTTGAAACCTATGAGGGATATCGATTACTTCACGTATTCGAACAACGCCGACGTCATCCCGCCTAGCGAGGCTTCGCCGAACTCGATATTCGTGTTCGACGACGTGGCCTGCGACAAATAGGACGTCGTGAGAGAGTACTTCGCCATGGGGCGTCACGCGAAGGTCGATTGCTTCTATCTGTGCCAATCGTACGCCAAGATACCCAAACATCTGATACGCGACAACGCGAATCTATTGATACTCTTTAAGCAGGATGGCACTAATCTGAAACACGTGCACAGCGATCACGTGAACACCGATATGCCGTACGAAGATTTTCACGCGCTGTGTCGCGCGTGTTGGAAATACCAATACGGTTTTCTAGTGATCGACAAAGATAGCGCGCTGCGCAATCACAGGCGGCAGATACAGGCGAGGGTTCAACAATTACGCCGTGCCGTAGAGCGTCGCGTGCGTCGTCGTCGTCGTCGTCGTCATCGAGGATGAGTCAGTCTTCTCGAGATGGTAGAGGGGAGAGATATAAGAGAAGGCGAAACGTCGAGGAACGACGGACGTCGGCAGACGCGAGAAAACCGCGATAGAGATAGCGAGAACGCGCGCGTCGATTCGCAGAAAGCACAGAGCGCTGAAGACCGGAAGGATGGAGAGCGATAGCACTTTGGAGACGCGTTTCAAACCGATCGTCGAACCGTTGCGACGCATCGCCTAGCGCATCGGAGACGATTCCACGCGAGGCGCGAGCGCGAGAGAGAGGGAACCGGCGAAGAGCGAGATCGACGAGACGTTCGCGCGAAGCGTCAAGAGAACGGAGGCGTCGGAGGAGGAGGAGGAGGAGGAGGACGACGAGGAAGAGACCGAGAAGAGCGCGTTACCGCCGCCGCCGCCGTCGTCCGCGAAAGGATTCAAAGCTAAGCGATCTCGCCGTCTGAATGCGACGACTTCCACGCCCGTGGGAGCGTCGGACGCGTCTCCCGCGCAACGGCGCGAATTCGCGAGCGGAGACCTCTTCGCGCAGCCGCCTGTCGAGGAGACGTTCGAGATGAGCGACGACGTCTTCCTCGGATCGCCGGCGACGCTCGAAACGTCCGTGAGACGGTCTCTGCGGACTCCTCGAGGGGCGAGACATCTTGCGCGATCAATTGGGCCCATTGGCGCGAAAGTACGTGGGCGCTCTTCTCGGCGGCGGCGCGCCGAGCGATTTCGATCACGTTTACGGAGTCTACTTCGCCGACGCGGGCACTATGCTCGGGGACAAGCGATTCGACGTAGGCGTCGACAACGCGATATTCGTGGACGGAGTCAGATACGCCATTTACTCCCGGTCAGTACAATTGATCTTCAAGAGAATTCTCGACGATTTCAAGTACACCGAGAGAGACAAAGCCGCGTACAGGAGCATACTTCTGCAAACTAACACTCACAGGCGCGAGCACAATATTCGCATGTTCGTACTGGGAAACAAGGGATACAAGTACAAGCACGTCATAGCTCCGATCCTGCGGACGGACAGTCCGAGGAAGAGATCGGCGGGGTCGCGTGCCGCGGCTATGCGCGCGACCCGCGACACCGTGGACTACGTTCACTGGGACGATCCGAACGAATTGGTGGATCGTCTCAGATTGCTGGACGCTTCTCGTCAAGCCGGCAACAACGCTCACGACAACGAGATCCTGTCGATAATCGAGGAGCTCCGCGAGGCGGGCGAGATACTGTGAGACGATCGCGCGCGCGCTTCATTCGACGACGCGATGTTCGCGAGCAAGTTCGGAGTGTCGACGCGGAGAAGACGCGGTCGCGACGCGACGAGCGCTAGATTGCGCGCGAGCGTGGAATCTCTGCGAAATTACGTGCGCGATAACGCGCTGTGCCTGACCGTCTCCGACGTCTTCCCTCCGCGTCGCATTACGACGCGAGGCGTCTCAAGATACGAGTTGCCTGGCCGACGACGACGACGACGCGACGAACAAGAGTTACGTCGAAAGCGTTATACACGCGGTGAGAGCGAACGTGGCGAGCCAATCACCAACTTATCGCGAGCGCGAGAACGCTAGCGGATAAC